CTAAGCCGTTTTCTCCAAAAAAGGAGCCTCCATGGCAGTAAATGAAGCACAAACAGCAGGGCCACGTCTACACTCACAGATTAGCAGTATCCACTCTGAACAGCACTTTCATAGGGCTCTTTCAGCTGTGTAATTCAAGTTTCTTTAAGAGCGATGATTTCACAAGCCAGTAATAGCATATTTACTGGCATAGGACTGTTATTGAAAACGCTGCAATGGGCATAAGCATGAAATTGAATACAGAAGAAGAGTAAAATGAGATTATTTTTTCTTGCCTTTTGAGGAGAAATGTGTTGGCTTAATGCCTTCCAATCTGTGCTGGAGTTAATTCAGAGAGATACAGTGCAGTCAGCAGAGGCCTTTACAAACAACTATTTCAACAGTCAAATGCCATTATCAGCAAAACAACCTAATTAATCGAAACATTTTCATTCCCGCGTCTCCATTGACTCGAAGATGGACTTTTTAAGCTGCCAGAAGCCGTAACTCACTTTAATTTTATCGTAAGACAGAGAGAGACACACTTCTGCTAAAAAGCCTAAACTCTACATTTTGTCACGTGTGCGGAAAGATCATTATTCGTCTCTATGGATACACATATTAAAGCTAAATATAAACGGTACAATGAGCTCGTCCCTCTCAGTTGAGAAGTACTGAAGAGAAAACACTGACTCAAACCTGGGGGGGTTTTAAACCATCCATTTTCTTCAATGTGTTGAAGTGTCTTTATAAAACGTCCTTCCAGTTTATATTCTACTTTTTTATTTTGTATGCTGACATTTGAGGGAAGCTTTTTCTTTTGATTGTATCTACTGTTTTCATTTCCTCCCCCTCGGGGCACAGCAGAACTTCACAAGAGCTTTTCAACACACAAAAAAAGTTTCTCACCACCAAAAATGAGATTTCATTTGTTTTAGAAAGATCACTTCGGTTAGTTTTGTATTGTCATATTTTAACAACTGCCACGCACCAGATTATTTGAAGAAATGTGTCAACTTGAGTTTCATATATAACTTTTCATAAAGTCATTGTGTTTCTTCCTGCAATTTCAAGAGACACTTCACCATTGTAGAGAAAGGATTTACATTTGATTATATTTTCATCTTATGTCATTTCATTTAGGAGTGAACCTGTTTTTAGCTGACAGCAAAGACATTTCTGCATAACAAATAATATATGTTATAATAATATAATATAATAAAATGAACTCAATTAACTGGCCTGGTTTAAGTCATAGTGTCTTAATAAACATGTTTGACACGCCTGCTGCCACCTCGTGTATTTTGCACAACCACATGGGGGGGGCAGGGATCTGGATTAGGACCTGAGCACCACAGAGGTTGTTAGCTTGAGAGCCATTCGGTGCTACATCAGCACCACCTTAGCCACTTGGCTAGAAAGACACAGCAACCAACCATATCTACATGAATCATTGAAAGGGACGTCCTTTGTATTAAACAGGCTCTTAGTCTTTGTTTCAAACATCAGCGGCGGTGTCTCGGGGCAAAGTGTCAGCATGTACCTCTGTCACCAGCAGAGAAGGCAACGGTGAAACCATAAGCACCCTTGTTTTGCGCCCTTGTTTTGCACCCTCCACTCCCAAAAAGCCACCATCAGGTCATGCACTCAACGCTGAGGCTGTCGTATCGCTTTCTGTTCCCCGTCTCTGCAGGGAGGGAGCGGCGAGCCTCCTCTATCCTCCGTCCCCGTGGCAAAGAGAGAGCGGGAGAAGGGGAATCTAATTATTTTCCTCCATGGCCCAGCAATCCTTAAAGGTTAATCACTGTCCGTCTAGCTAATTCTGTCTGGGTACACTGCAGTAATTACAACACCCCTCTCGCCTATTTCTCTATTGAACACCTTGTGCCGTCTTCTGCACGCTCGGTCTTTACAGATAGTGGACTTTCTTGTCTTTGTCTCTATTCTACGATCGTAGACATACACACTACGTTTCAAATGGAACATCCGCATGCATAATCCCCGTTCCATCACCCATGGTTTCTCTTTCAAACAGAAACACTGTTTAAAATGGCCGTAACGTTTAATACCTCCTGCCTCCCAGAAGCTCAAATGTCTTTTTTCAGGTTAACGGGCAACCACTGAACCCCCCCAACCCCCCAAAAAAAGACAAGGCGCTGAACTAGTTCATGTAAACCAATGTCAATTTGGTCTTTTGTAATTCACTTGTAACATGTATGCTTTTTTTCCCTGGCGATATTTCTGCATATCTTTCATAAAGGCCTTTCATAGATGCACAAATGCTTTTTGTCATGCGTCAGATGTCAGAGTGAGCAGGGGTTCCTCTTCTCACCTTCCCTCTTTCTCACACTCCCCAGTTTCCATTTTTACTCCATTTTCTTTCTACCTTTGTTGCACAGACGCTCTCCCCACATTTTTCTCACCTCCTCCTTTCTTCCTCTTCATCATCTCGTCACCACTCCACACTCTCTTCATCTCTCGCTCGGCTGCAATGCTGGTTACACCTACATTTCCCTCTGGCAACAGCGCTCGTGGATGCGCGCCCCGGGCCTCCTCCACCATCCCCTCTCCTTCCAATCTCTCACTTCCTGCCAAAAGCTTCTCCGGGAGCGACAGCTTTGGAGACTTAAAATACTTCCGATTCTCTTTCTGCTTTTACTCGACGTTTCCCATTTCTCACAGTTACCTTTAGTGACGCGGCTGCTAAACACAAACGAATGGCTGCGATGAAGACAATGACGAGCACTAACATTGAATGAAAAACATTTGTTTTTTTTGGTAGTTCGAGACCATTTCCTCATGTATTTGTTACAATATTTCTCCCTGATTAGTTTATACAATTTATCTCATATAAAATACATTCTCTGCATTCCTCCACCTCTGCTCGTTTACATTTCCACATTCACAGCTTCCACTAACATTGAAGTCATCTCGGTCCCCCTGCGCTCCCTCCCGGAGGCCCTGCCACAGGCTCCATTAGCAGGCTGCTTCCTGCTGAGGCCAGCGGGCCCATTGCTGCTGGGCGAGGTGGGCCGTCGCGTCCCATGTCATCAATACGAAAGAAAGGAGCCAAGAAGCACGGGGACGAAGATGAGAGAAAGCACGAGGAAGAAAAGGGGATGTGAAGGCTGAGCGTAGCCTTTAGCAAAGTGTCATTACTCAGCTAAACTCTTTCTATTTTCCTCTTGCCGGGGGACCGAGCAGCGGCGGGGGGATGGAGGACGTTTTATTACACTCCAAACGTTTTCTAAGAAATAGCAGAGTGACAAAGATCGCTAGAATTTGGTTTCTCAGCCCCTGCGGCAAAGCCCTGCTTGGGAGCGTGTGGGCAGACGGGGGCTGACGGAGGTGGTGGTGGCTGTGTGGGCCGCTGCCTGTCGCAGAGATGGCGTCGGGCAGCTGCTACAACTGCTGAGGTGGGGACGACGGAAGATGAGAATGGAAAGCGGCAGCGCCAGGCTGCCGTGGAAGATGCCACGGAGGATCAATGCAAGGTGAGAAGTGAGGTGCAAAGGCAGCAAAGAAATGAGATGAGGGTGAGAATCTGCAGGAAGCCACGGTGTATACACACACACACACACACACACACACAATGGAGGCACGGGGGTGGTGGTCCCTTGAGTAACAGGCAGCAAATTAGTTTCTATAATGAAATGTGAATTCTATTGCCTATACAGAGCAAAGTTTGTGGAGGAAAGCTGAAATTTGTTAGATCCCATTCTGAGCCTCTTTGATAAAAGGAGGTAAAAATGTAAATCAATTTGATGTCCTGAATCTTGTGTGTAATACACAAACAGGTGTGTGGAGTAGCAAAGTAACCTATGGTTCCTTTATTAATCCCTGTGGGGAAATGATTCCCTGCATTTAACCCCGTGTGCTGCTGTAAAAGGCGCCGGGGAGCATCCAGGGGTTTGGTGTCTTGCTCAGGGACACTTTCACACGGGACATGGAGCAGCCGGGGTTTGAACCATCACACACACGTTCTCATTGAATTCAATGAGCGAGTGTGTCCAACCTTCTGACTTGTACTGCATGTGGTAACGGGTTGGTAATTAAATATTCTTGAGGTACCAATAGCGGTTATATACCAATACAAAATCATTAGCAAAGTCCTCTGTGTTTCTATATTCAAGTTATGTGTAACAGTAAATAAAAATGTATTGATTACTGGAAGAAACAGTTGGTTTATACATATTTGTTAAACTTCACAGGCAACCGTTAAAGTGTCACTCATACAGACAACGGGGCTGGTTGTGTCGTGGTGCAGCTGGTGAGCTGATCTGCCCGATATATAATCTCTAACTCTGAGTTAACAAACTTGCTACCGGACATGTTGCCAGCTAGTAAGTTTAGTGTGTTGGTTAATGTAATTATAACTATTATTTTCTAGGCACGTTTTTGAACATACAAAGGAATAAAATTTTGGCCCTCTGGCCCGGTTCAATACCAGCAAGCTGAAACGGTGAAAATATGCATCCTAACTTAGCGAACCTCTGATTCTGCTGGAATGATATTGATTTAAGTGTGTGTCTGTTTGAAACCCAATGTGCGTCCAGACCTTAAACCTGCACCAGGTTTTTGAAATAGCTTTAAATGACAGTAAGACTTCAAAAACAAGACGTCAGTGTTTACAAAGACCTGAGATCACTTTAAGCCAAAAGACCTAAAGAGGAAAAAATGTATGCTTGACTCTCGCATTGGTTACATAATTATTTCTGATTCATCACCTCCTCTGTGCTTCAAATTGCAGTGATTGCCATGACAACAGATGGCATGCACATAAATCCGGCACAGTAAATTATTTGAATATTTATCAGAATGTGAGAAGTAGGTGTCCTTGTGAATAATCTTTACCCGGGAGAAACACAGATACAGTATGTGCTCTGAAACGCTGAGGTGTTTCAAATCCCGTGCAAATGAATGTGATAAGAGAGACAAATAACATCCCGGTGAAATGTGCAGTGCGTGTTCTATACTCTACACGGTGGACTGAGGATGGAAACTGGCGCAGAAAAGTCTACCTTGTGTGAGAAGCTGAAGGGTCCTGACTTCCTCCCGGACTCGGAGCTGCAGGACCTGCTGCAGGATGTGCTGCCTCTGGGCTTCCTGCATGATTCCCATTCTTTCCAGCTTCCTGTCCGTCAATCTCATCAGAGCCCGCCCTGAGCAGAGAGATGAAAACCAACCAGGCTGGGGGTCAGCAGAGAGAAGGAGCGGGAAGCCGTTGGGGATTCAATATGCACAGCTTGAGACACGGCAAAAGGCCACATGTGAAGCATTCGTGTGAGTGGAGGAACACAGCGAGGGAGCCCACACACAAACAAATGAGATGGGAAGATTACAGCTGCAGGAATCTTGCATTTGATTTTGATCAGCGGTTTTTTATAAGGTTGCAAAATGAAATCGAAAAACTCATTTTTAAGAACCTTTGTCTGTTAGCACGACTCGATGTGAAAGACATTCTATGTCCCCTCACAGCTTCTTTCTTTATGGCAAATCCTCTTGTACAATCCATAATTTAATCATCCAATCAGTGCCGATGGGGGGGGTTTGGGCTGCCAGCAAAACCGCGAGTCGAGTATGCCGCAATTATTAACGCCTGTTAAGACTGCCTTTGTGACATGTGGGATGCTAAGCAGATAGGGTGAAAATTCAGGGTAATTACTACGTGTCAGCTTGGACGACGACAGCCCCCTTTGCTCCGTTGCCCTGATGACTGCGTGGGCATGAAACTGTCCCTGATTGGTGGGCGGCTGAGGGGGAAAGATCAGCACCAATAGGCTCGTGGGAGCTGCTCCGTTCCATTCTTCTCCCTCGTTCTGGCTCTCGTTAACATCCCCTCCTATTATCAGATCACTAAAGCAAACATTCCTGATGATACAGTTTTCTTTGCTCGCCACCAAGGCCAGATGGAGGTAAAATGTCACCCACTGTTGTTCAGAATGGCACCGAAAGTGTCCATTACATAACGTGCCGACAGTGGGGAGCAAAATCGAGTCATAAACGAGGTGAGATGTGGATATTAAATGGGGAGATGGGAAAAATAGGATTAGTTAAAGGTGGAAAGAGGACTGATGAATCAAAGCAGAGGTGGAGACGTGCAAAATGACAGAAGAAAAAATACAACGTGCGCATGCTGTCAAGAGTCTCTACATATTGACCAACCGACACTGGCACCTTGTTCTGTAACCAAAGATAGATCGGCATGGCAACAGAGGATCACTTTATTCTCTGCTTCAGTCTTAAATAACAGCAGATAAAAGAGATTAACAGGTTGCTCACAGAGCATCTTTGCGAATATTTGTAACATAGAAAGAAAGGAGAAAGAAAGTAGCAGCCTGGGGATTGTTTATTAACGCACAGGCCTGTAAGCCTCGCTGTCGTTTAAAATGTCATTTTTCTTCCTGCTGCACATTAAGTGAAGGAATACTGAATAATCTCACTATACGATGTGTATACATTTCTTTTAAATGTCCTTATGTTTGACATCGCGCTGAGCACACGCTGGTCCTGCTAAAGCCCAACCCAGTGCTGCCAACTCTTTAATACCTTTTCTGAAAATGCCATTGGGTTGTCGACGTTGACAGCCCGTCTCTTTAAGCCTCCCTCCAAATTGTATAACACAAAAGTGGCTTTTGTTAGAGCTGGTAGACTGGCAGCTAGCATCGGAAGAGTCTCATTACGCGCAGAATTAAATTATTCTGTGGGTTTATTACCAATATATTAATCTAGTATCGGGACTGTAACGGTTTCATTTATTGATTTCTATACGAGATGTCTAAAATACACTAACCCTAAGTTTTTTTCCCAGCTATTAACGACAACCTAGTTCTCCTCCACCGTAAAACAGAACACAAGCGGAAAAAGATGAATCAACCGGTTTGGGTATGATTTGGAATTGGTCAATAAAAGCCTGGATGTTTCATTCACTCAATATGTTTTTCTGTAGAGGTCTGAACAAATCAGGCCTGATTTTCCCTCACAGCTAAAAACAAGAAGTGCATTAACTGGGGAAGGTGGAGTACAGCGGAGGAACCGAATAGAATAAGCTTGACTATGACGACCAACAAAGTGTCAGTTCTGCACGGTGGGCGAGGCAGCGTCAGCAGGGTGGAACCGTTTCTTCCACGCTTTTACTCGCTCGCTGTGCAGTTCTGACTCATTGGCTTTGACAATCCCATCAACCCTCAGTCGGGAATTTTTTAAACCACAATTAATACACTGAGCAGTGTTGCATGGCCACGAGGAGGAGGAGGAGGAGGAGACGAGGCAATTGGTTAAGAGGAGCTAAATAAGTCAAGAGAGGCACCGATACTTGCGCCAGAAAAATGGCAAATCAGCTGTGAAAGGCATCGGAAATGACAAATGAGACCTCGGCCGGACCATGCGGCGCTACGGAAACTATATATCTAATAAATATATAATAATGTGATCCAATACTGCTGCATGGCAAATTCTATACAGCAACGATGCATAATCCTGACACTTTATAATGCTATAATGCTGTGCAGGTTTTAGGCAAATCTGGCCAGAAAATAAAATGTATTAACTGGCAACAGGCCGAGTGCAGCTGACGTGTACGTGCATGCTCTCTACTAACGAGCAGCGGCGACTCCAACGATGGCTAAAATAAGTAAGGATCTTTTCTTATTGATTGCTGTCTATAACCACATGTACACTCATCTACTCCACTCACTAATCAGCACGAGTAAGTCTCTATACATTCGGGTGGTTTGCTGCAGCTGAAATGCTATTTGTATTCTGCCCCTTTACCACTTAAGTACACCCATCTGGTCTCTACTGGGGACACTGCGATTTTGGGTACACCGCCGAAAAACCTCCTTATTTTGGGTGCTTTAAGGTTGGCATACCGACGCGGTGTTGTGTACGTCTCCAAATAACAACACACTTTAGCACCCCAACCCTCCTTCCTTTTCGCGAGCATTCCCGGTTTCCCTGCCGTTGGCACTCACGTATTCAGGTAGCATCTTGACTACCACGCTTATCTGCTGCTGCTGGAATGAGCTGAATAACTCCTTTCCTTATTTCTATAAGTGCGCTAGTGAATCCAAACTCCCAAGAAGATGAGATCTTGCTGCTGCTTCACTGATTACTTTTTTTTTTTAAAGGCCTTGCCTCCACCTGCTTCTCTGAGTCACATCCAAGAATCTGTATTATATTAGACGAGCGCTATATTGTACCTATAAAGATCAATCATATTGTTCTGAGTGCATTTTTTTTTTTTTTTACAGAAGCACACTAATGTGAGCAGGTGACACACACACACACACACACACACACACACACAGTCCCCGGGAGTTAGATTAATGAGAGGTGGGTGAGCAGCAGTGTTGGGCTGAAGCAGATTAATCCACAGCTATAGCCTGGCACAGACAACCACGGCTCTGATGAATGGGAGCTTAAAGTGCATCTGTACAAACACACACACTAACACAAAATATACACAGACACATTGGATATAAAAGCAGGCCGGTATTTGCCAACTGCTCGCACCTATACAAACAGACACTGATGCTGCACTTCATTTCCAACGTGGTGTAATAAGCGCCGCGCTAACGACGAGGGCGTGGTGGGGACGGGAGCACAAAGGGTGACAAATGAGCCCCCCCCCTCCCCCTCTCCCTCCACCTTCACACTACAAGGCCCCACCGCGCCGCACAAGCTGAGGTCCACGCCGACAATGCATTCTCCTCAGGTAAAGCTCCCACACGCACGTCACACTTTATTTCTCAGATCTCCCGCGCAAGCTGCGCGCGGCCGTACGAGGATGTCCGCCTGTGAAAGGCTCGACAACGACATCGCGCACTGCGCGGCCGGGGCGGTTACTTTGCCGGCATTAGCAGTGACATCATTCAGCAGCCTGCGGGCCCTTGAAGTAAAATGGTGACTGATTGTCCAGTATTCCTGCAGCCGCTGCCGCCACTGAGCACCTGTGATCCGATGCGAATGCTCGGCCCGGACTGCGGGAATGAAACTGGTCCAGCGAGGCCGGAGAGACACACACAACCGCACGCCCACGCTGCGGATAATAAGCTGCCGCGGTGCTCCAGTTGTCGCAGCAGCAGTGGCCTCGTGCTGATCTATTTCAGGTTGTGGATCATTATACCGCACCTCAGTCGGTTAGCCGCGCCTAACAAGCTGCGGACAGCCGGGACTCCGTAACGCTGCGGTACAGATAACTGAAACCCGTGTACGGCTTACTGTGGAGCTAACCAGCTGCCCTGAGGTAGACAGGCCGCCCTGTAGTTCCCTGCTCATTAAGGGGAGGGGGGGGTCCAGCGATGTAACATCCTAACATGTGCGGGAGAAATGTGCCGACTTTACCACAACTCAAGTCTGGATTGGAGCATTGGAGGCCCCCACGGAGTGTGACGTGGGGCCGCGAGGTGCACTGGACGGGCCGCATCCACGCTGCTTGGTGTCCAGTGGGGACCAGCGGGGACCAGTGGGGACCAGTGGTGGCCGACGTTTCCCTAATTTTGAACGGCCTGATGCCACATGTTGTTTTGTTGCTTTACATTACATTCCTGCTGATGTAATTTCAAAATGCAAACGTTTTTCATCCCTAGCAAACAGTTATTGCACAACAATAAAATGATACCAGAATCATATCATGCAGTCGTTAATAACTCCTTTGATTGATGGGTTCCTTTACCTTGTTTTTATTTCCTTTATTGAGATTGGGGCATCTCATTACTAGCTGCAATGTAACCGCGACATAACTGCATTTCCTCTGTTATCCGCATCTCGTTTCAGTGAAGCCAAAGAGTGTGTCCTGTATAATGAGTCTCACTACACTTTATGTATCTGCTCTGCTGCTCCTCATTCACACTCTCTGGATATTTACTCTCCATATGGAAAATAAAGACATTTATAAAACGTGCATTTGGCATAACAGTGATTAATTTTACAATAACACGTTACCATATAATCATCTCGCCAATGGCATCATTAAGGGCGATTCTTTCCGTCTGCGGATCAAATCGTCCCCTGAACTGCTCATCAGCAGCGAGCTGTTCAAATTTCCCTTTTGGAAATTACACAAAACAATGGACACCAATTGATCGTCTCATCCCTGAAGGTTTGGGCGGTTTGGGCCATTGCTGCCTCGCTGTCCTCGTCGCCGGGTCTTGAAATGAAAAGTGTGCCACCTTATTATCCTTTTCTCCGGCACATCAAATATACATTTTGTTCCCAGCGTGACGCCCTTCAGCGGATCGAGGGGGTTCGCGGCTGCTCGGACTGCCGCTGCTTTCAAAGCGGAGGGCTGATGGATCCGCCAGCCGGACCTTTAGAAGACCCGAGGCGGTCTAGTGCGAGCTGCTGGATACGGGCCACTCGTCATTAAACCCCTAATATTACAGGCTATTAACTATTCAGAGCAAGGCCTCGTGACGCCATACAACAAGTGGCTGCTTGAGGGAAAAACAGTCTCATGCATGGATGGTTGAAGTCCTGCTACCAATGCACACTACCGTTCTTTCTCTTCAACACTTTTAGTCCGTGTGTATAGTAAGGGCTCCACGGTTGCATCCAATTCTGTATTTAAAGGCCTTAGGAGAGACTCTGGATTTACACAATGTGATGTATTGGGCCTCTCCGACAAAAAACACAACTTAACGGGGAGTCGCCCTCTTCCGTTCTCTTGCTTTTGGGTGCTTCATCACACCTCTCGCGCTGAATACATCCTAGCTATCGCAAATTGTGTGTTTCACTAAATCTTCATGCCAAGCTACTCTCCCACCCAAAAGAGCATCGGCCTTGTAATTACAACGGATTAGGGACTAATATCTAATTATGCCTTAATATGCTTTAATGCCTTTTTAATGGCAGCGCTGGTGCTGAAGTCAAATGTCTCTGTCGAGGGGAGGGGGTTGGGTTCTTGGCAGTGTGTGCTTGAGGGAGGATGGGAAACTATTTCTTTGGCTGAGGTTACAGGAGCCCAGCAGGGAGCCTGCCGCAGCATTCTGAAGCCGCCCGGCTCGCCGCCGTCACGCCGAAGGAGGGCGAACAAAAAACGCCTGCTTGAATTATGATGTGGAATGGAGAGTGTTGATGGATGTTGGTACTTTGTGAACGGCAGACTAGTCTGCCAAGACGAGTTAGATCAGAGTACCGCCGGCAGGTGAGGAGAGTCTCAGCACTCCGTCGTGGGACTGGACGAGACGTTCTGTGTTGGAGAACAACATAAGATGCGACCCACCAACACACACACACACACACACACACACACACACACACACACACACACACACACACACACACACACACACACACATTGTAGGACGAGCACACTGAACCAGCAGAAGGCCCAGATGCCCTAATAAAATGTATTCACACTCACTGTTTGTTTCTCCGCACATGATTGTTTTCCACAACAATATTCCATTCATCATTTGTTTCCCCCTTGTTTATTCTAACAGAGTGGAGGAACAGAAGAAAAAAGCTATCTGCATAATATTTCATAGATTGATTGGGATGCAAATTGCCTCGTGAGCCCAATCGGTGTGGCCGGGCCTGTTTTAATTGGGTTTTGCTAATTAATGCTCCATGTGAAGACAAACGGAATTACTTGCAGGTTTTTGCGCATGTCATTATCTCCTAATTGTGCCAGCAGGAAAAATCAGGCATTTGTGTGTGTGCCTATTTGATTAACCCTTTATTTTCTTGTATAATCTTGTAAAAATCATTACACCTTAATAACAAACATATCATTACATTAATTCACCATTAGGAGGCTACGTTCTAATGTTTTAATCACTGGAAGATAAATACGAGAAAATGTTATTAATTCACAGACAAACTGAATAAATTTGGCTTGTCACAAAAACAGTGGTTTAATGGGAAAGTTAAGATTAATGTTCCGTAATAATAATGACTGCACATGACATGATTTCTCTTTTACAACTAACACTGCCGGTGAGATAAGAGGTGTGTGTTTTATGACTTGTTAGATATGTGCTTGAGATTTAATCGGAATTATTTATTTTGCTCGTTGAACTTAAAAGAAAATAATATTTTCCAAGTGAGGAAAATGCATCAAAGGGTAAAACGGCGCCGCCGAGGGATGCGAACAGATAAACCTGTTAATGTGACCAGTCGTGCTCCGAGGGGCAGAGAGCAACGGCAATTAACGCTCGCCTGTTACTATGCCGACCAGAACGTCGTTAGCGGCGGGGTAACCTTGAGGGGCCTCGTTAGCCGGGAGTGATTGACGCGCCGAACGATGACAGCGAGTGGGCGTGGCCAGAGGGAGGGGCAGGCCGGATGGACGGGCTGCAGAGAGCACACCTGGGATGTGACGCAGGAGACCGGGCCTCACACTTTTACTAAGATAAGGAAAGTCCACAAATTGTCCAAACCATTTTAGGAAAAAGAAAAACATTGTTCCGCTAATCCCGAATAAAACGCCACAAAGCTTCTGAATGCGGTGGTATTCCTCCAATTTCTGTGCCGCTGTGTTGCTAATCTAATATAGTGTTTAGTGGGCGTTACCCATGCTAATAATATACAAAGGAACACAAACGTGTCAGACATGTTTCACGCATCCGGAGTGTTAGAAAAGAAAAAAATGTTGCTGCATGGGACTCAATGGGAATTCTGCTACAGCGACACTGAATTGTGTTTGCAGCCATATTCAAAACAAATCAACGCGTAACAGCACAAATCCCGTCGGTTTTCATATGGTAAAAATAAATCCCTCCATTTTGCTTGTCATGTCTACGTCCTTGCCCGCCCAAAATGTTTTGGCTGAAGAACGTCTCCGTTGGCGTCGCGGTGGCCTTATGAAACAGAGAACAAAAGGAGTGGCGGCGGAGCCTCTTCTCTCAGAGACAGTGAGCCCGGTCGGTGTGCGCGAGAAACCGTACCTGTGATGTCGTGCTGTTTGAAGGAGTCACTGTAGATCTGGTGCTGATTGGGACAGTGTTTCTTCAGCCACTTGCAAACGTCCGGTTGGGTCCACAGAGCCACCGGCTTGGACAGCTTCACATATCCTGGCTGAGACACACAAGGAAACGAACATTTAGAAACCGTTCATCATATATTCTCCTCATGTTTTCCACATGTTCTGATTCTTTGAGCTTGCTGAACCGTGACTCTGCTGCACTTGTTCAGAGAGCCCTCATGTGTGTACTTGCATTATTAAAGCCTGCGGAGCCTGTTTGTGGACCACTTACACATTACAGTCAGAGCACGAGGTTTTCAGGACTGCAGCACTAATTCATCCGTCTCATAGAGAACAGTTGTTTTCCTCACACGGGTCAGAGTGCCGTCCAGTGACGCCTGACCGGTCTTGTCATATTATATCCACTGGCTGCTGTGGGACGTTTTCCCACCTCCAAGAACAATAAAGTATTCATCTTTGAATGTACAAGTGCAACGGCACACTAGCCAAAGGAGGGAGAGAGAGAAATGTTGCACAGGCCATTCATCCGCATTCTAAACCACCTCCTCCACCACCAATCCAGCCGGTTCTTCACTGTCGTTCGCTTGATTCTCCCCCTCGTCCATATTCCACCAAGACCTGCCGTGCTCTACCTGCCCCTGATTGGCTAGTTCTTCTTCAGAGAAGAAAACCGGTGACAGACAGGTCAGGTTAATGATCCCACCTCACATTTAAATAAGCCTTGTATATTATGCTCGTATACGATTCAAATGTCTTGATTATGGGAGAAATGATTCAACAGCTAGTTGAGGGTTAACAACATGCTTGATCCAAACCTCTCGCTGCCTGGCATTAAGTTACCCATTACAAATTTGTTTTTGTTGAGATTTTCTCTCCTCAAATCACATTGTAGCCCAGACAGACGTGGTAAATTAGTTTTTCCTTTGTCAGAAAGCAGCGTGAATGTTTTGCAGCCTGCATTATTTAGAGCTGCTTTCACTGACAGATTGCTACCTTGCTACGCTCATTACCACCAGGACGTCTTTTTTATATTAATTAGTAAAAACAACACAACATAAAAACATCATGAATAGCAGACCATAACTCTGTGATACCCTGGAGACTAATTCCAGTATGTGTATTTTGTTATTTTCTCAATAAATGTTTAATATATAAATCAGAAAATGCTAGAGCCCAAGTTAACGCCTTCAAATGTCTGTTTTTAATCCAAAAGAAGTTCCAATCCAGGAGGAAGAAGCAAAAACAATGAAATATTGAGACATTTTTTCCTGTAACAAATTAAAGATGTGGGAAAACTAGAATCCCTGCGTGGCGGTTGTAAGCCTCGGTCAACCAGTCAGGCTGCAGTTATCATATCCGACCGGAAGTGTCACGGTGGAGGAAGTTATTGGATGAAGCCCTTGTTGTCCCTCAATTGTCCCCCAACACTTCATCACTTAACTCTCGGACAAATATATGTGAAATTGGCATAATTATCATATCTGTTCTTGAGTTATGGGCAAACCTTTGTTTTGTAATTAGTGATCTTTGAACTCCAAATTCTACTATTCGTCCAAGTGAAGATTTGGTCCTTTTCCGATATACACCACATATATACACACACATTATATTATAACAATAACATCAGATACATCTCGTATGTTAGAATGAATGTACAGTTTGCATTCATATGCAAGTATCAGCATAGCACTACTGTGGTTAAAAGTTTGAATATCCTTCCCGGGCACCGCTCCTGAAAGTGCTGCCGATGCTTTTTGATTTTGATTGAGGGGGCTGTTAAAATCACAAACGGAGGGAGGTGATTAAAATTTCACACCCACCCCTCCACTTCACTCCAGCCTGCTCTCTGGGCTGCGGCGCGGCATAGCAATGGAAGCCCTTCTCTCCTCTGCCAGGAGGGGAGCACAATAACAGGTACTGGCAGCATTTCCTCGGCTTTGCTTTGCGCCCACCGCCTCTCCTCCCCAATCTCTCATCTCTCCCCCACATTCCATCCCGCTCAGTTCCTGTCAGACATATCACACTGTCATTCGCACTTCCTCTCCCCGCATACCGGAGCTCTCATCTCCATCACCCTCTCTCTCTCACCTGCTTCTCATTATAAGGCAGCCCCTCTCTCTCCCCCCCCAGGTCTCTCCACAGCTCCTTCCCACTCGCTCACTATATCTAGCGTGTCAGAGAGACGAGAGACGGGGGGGGACAGTTAAAGCAAGCAGGTAGTGGAGCCGCCGCCGCTCGGTGGGAAGAAAACCCCATTAACCATTAAACACATCTCAACTTAATGCTAATTAACCCCGACTCAGAGCCTGAGGCTACAGGACGGGAAAGGAGAGAGCGAGACAGAAAAGGGGGAGGAATAATGGAGAGAGAGTAAGAGAGGGTGTGTGTGTGTGTGTGTGTGTGTGAGAGAGGAAGGGGGAGTTTGGGAGTTGTGGAGGGACTGACCGATGAGGTAGGGGAATAAAAGATGGAGAGCAGAGGAAAAAGATGAAGCGCTTGGCCAGGAATGAGCACGGCAGAACTTGAACCAAGAGGCTCTCTCATTTTTCCATGGATCCATTTGTGAGTCAGTGGCCATCTGTGTTTTACTTTCGCCACTGGTTTAGCTCCTAGCGGTGGGTCCCCGGGGCGCCGTCGGGGAGTCGGTGCCTTTCCTGCCTGCCGGGGCCCACGAGTACCATCACACTCAAAGAGCTGCGTTCAAGAGACTCCGGGCCAATTAAGAGATTTTGAGGGACAGCGCAGAGGTGAGAGGAGAATCCGGCTTTAATTCTAAGTCGGATAGGTGTGGGGAACGGGCGCACGCACACACACACACACACACACACACACACACACATGCTATAATTGATAACTGAAAGCACCGTGCAGCTACCAGTATTCTTCATCGTTACCTTAGCAACAGAGGAAGGACAACCTCAGAAATTAAAAAGACGAAGGAAGAAGGCCCCAAGGGAGGAGGAAGGCACAACCCGAAGCACACGCTAAAAAAAGTCTGCACATTAACGGCCACAGTGGAGAACTATTACTAACATAATGAAGCGTGTAATCGCTGATAAGCATCTAAAGACCCGATATGAATGCACTCTGCTAAATGAATCAGGAGGCAAATCACATGGCTCCCTTTGCGGAGACAGTAGAGAATACAAAAAGGTAACTGGGAATTTGAAGCGCTCATGCGGCAAAACGTCATGTGACCGGGAGATTGAGCTGGGAATGGCGGCAGAGGAGAGCTGCGAGCCCCCGTCCCCCCCTTCATTTGTTCTCCAAGATGTCCGGTCTGATTGCGGGGGGGGGGGGGGGCCGAATGGCCGCACACTCAATTAAAAGTGTTAACTACAGCAGCAATTAGCACGCGGCGGCATTGTCTGGTCGATGCGGCTGCAGCGCGTTGCTCATTAAAAGCGGCCACAAAAGACCTCGTGACGTCACGCGCGCCTCCTGAGCCACGACTGAACCTCGACCCCCCCCCCCGGTATTTCCCCGGAGAACGGGAGAGGGCCGCGGTTCATTCATTGAACAAGTGCGTTGAAGGGCAAACAAAAACACGCCAGCCACGGCCGTTCCTCTTTGACGGCACGAGGGCTGCTGATGTTAATCACACACATTAGCAGCAGGCCGCTCTGGAAAAGAGGTTCAGTTCTCCCTTTCTAGAGGGGTCATGTCATGTTATAGTGAACCACGTGGCAGTATGAAGGTTGTTGTTCCAAAGACCACGATGAGGCGTCGTGCTTCAGTTCAATCATTGAAGAGCTCCGTTCATTCAAAAGAGAAATAGGGACAATTCCACTCAGTTTTAAAAGGGAGATCTTTTGTTTTACATGAAATGTCGTCGATGAAAACACTGGGCAAAGGGCGGGGTGACGACGTTCTTTCACTAGCTGTGACTAACAGTAAATGTTCAATACAAGGTGGGGGAGGAGGTTTCCAGGCTAGTGAGAATTTAGTGAAACTATCGCATCTACTGATGCAGAGATAAAACAAATAAAGTACATAAATACACGATATATTCCCCACATAGACGTTTCTACGGGGTTAATCGGTGGTAACAAACCTTTACATGTGGCTCCATTATGTGTAACAAATGGTTTCAACTGAAGAATTGCTGAACAATTAACAATCCAAGTCCTCTCACTCTCTTAACCAAGAGACAATATCTATTACAGACTATGACCAGAACACGGCTGGACGTGTCAGGAGCGGTTTTCTGCTTATCAGCAGAGAAAGACTAGTATTAAGTATTAGTATTTACAATTATTACAACTTCTCCCACGGAGAAACATTCTGCATTCCGGTTTAGAATCCAGTCATCATGCTTCACTGCTTGACTCATACATCCTGCTCGGACTTGTCAGCATGTAAATCAACTCCACAAAAATTCTGACTCTGCCAACATTTCTCTGTTTATTCTAATAGACTTTTTTCCAGGCTGTGATCCTTCCCAGGTGTGTTGTATGCTGCCCCCTAGTGGCCATACACTCACGTTGTGTTCTCTCCCTCTATATTAATGAATCCATTACCTACAGGGGAAAGCTTTATTCACCTTGGCTTGATACTGATCAGGACTGAGGTGAGATGATTTGCTACGGATGTTACACGGATTCTAAGTGGCTGTTTTTACGCCTCGTGCTCGAATCCACAGCTGATCCTCGGCTACCTTGAAAATCCAGACGGGCGCAGAATTCAGCTTTGTCCGCTGAACTGAAATGCCCCTAACGGAGTTTGCTACGAAATAATGTCTCCATTTATTATGCCACGATCATTACCACTCAGACCCGATTGCTGCATCACGGGTACTTCGGGTGTCCATGAAGAAGCAGCAGAGTAAGCTGTAATGTTTGTGAATTGCCATTAATAAAACAAGCATCAGCATATATTGACATCAGAGTACCGTCTCTTAGTCACAAGTAAGGTTCAAAGGTTATTTGTGGGAATCAAACCTTAAAGCTTCTACAAACGGCAGGTCCAACTGGTTATTAACTCGCGATTTGTATTTAAAAAAGTAGTAGGGTATCAAACGCAATCAAACCGTAAAGTATTTACTCGAAGACGGATACTGAGCCCAAGTAACATCTGTACGGCCGCTGGGGCCGTTACAGACATTCGCTCCTCTGTCCATATTTCTATTTCCATTGTTGTTTGTGCCAAGTTTGTGTTTATATGATAACATCTGTCATTTTATTCTTCCGATTCAAGTGTACAAAAATGTGCCCCATTAAATGTTAATAGAATGACATGAAGCAACATCACAGCTGCTGTGTGTGTGTTTGTCTTGATGTCAGGTGGCACAAATGTCCACGTTTGAGCGAACCAAACCAATCTGTCGTACGGGATGGAGCGCTCATCTCCCCTACGGCGTGCCCTTTCACCTGCACACACATGACATCACTCTGCCTTTAACTGTTAACAGTAAAGTAGTGCAGACCTCCTCATCCAGTCCTTAATCAAGGTCAACACATTAATAAATGCTATGTGTGCCTTTCCCGTGTTGCAGGATGGCAGAGATTACCGTAGTGATGCTTTGCACCAATGGTAGAGAGGCCTTGCTGTCTAGTGTCTGAACAGAGGACCATGTCCAAGTTCTTCCACTTTGACTGACAGCTGATTATTACAGATTTCACAGAGATAAAAGAGGATTTGCGAGACAGAGCGAGAGAGAGAGAGGTAGGGGGGGGGGGGGGGGGGATCGATCCAGTCTCCCCCCACTGTCTATTTCTGGAGAGGAAGTCAGGAACTTATTCTGCATTACTGATGATGGATCCTTTGATCTACGGTCAGAAACACAGCGGCAGAGAGTTGAAACAACAGCGCGCCGCTCGTTCCCTGTTACATTGTAACCGATTTGTCTTTACTGAAGAGGTGGATGTGGGGGGACGGGGGGGGGGGTGTCGGTAAGCGGCTGGTTTATTTGTCTTCCGTGTGGATGACAGTCAAACAACTTGTTTGATTTAAGGATGTCCTGTGCCGGTAAACGATAAACTGAAGGCGCCTCCTCGTGCACTTTGATTTGCATACAGAAACGCCCCGTCGGCTCCTTATAAGGGCATTCAACTGAAGAGAGGCGTGCACAATCCATCCGTTTCAAATCATGTGAAAGCGGAGAGCGAGCACTGGTGGAGTAAACAGACCCAACTTCACCGGTGCAGAGATGCAGATACTGTTGCAGAATGTGTCCATCCTATTTCTAATATCACAATGCCTCGCAGAATCATGACCATAAAGGTGAAACGTAACGGTTAGTGATGCAAATATTCTTGTATGTATTATTATTATTATAATTATTTCAATCCGCCGATGTTTGTAGAGTTGACGTGAACCTAATCACATTTGTTTCAAACCAATTCCTGCCCGTTGACACACAGGAGGTTGCCTCTTCGTTGCCAGGTGGAGTGGACATGGAGACGGTCGATATGCTGAACGGCAGGTCAGGGGACAGAGACGTTTCCTCTCCTCAGTGTATGTGCATTAAAAGTCAGCTCCTACTTTGGATAAACTTCCCCCTGTGAAATTTTTCACAGATGAAAATCTACAAATGAAAGTAGAGGAGCCGGCTTACTGACAGTGTTCAGTCACAGCCATCACATGACTGGAGTCACATGACTTCTGATTGGCATCCTGATGGGACGCAGCTGAACTGCACTGACATTAGTTTGTTGTGCTGTAACTTCAGTTGAGAGTCAAACAGTGGAGATATATATTCTTTTACAACCATTTGAGCAGAAGTACAAACTTTTTTTTACTTTTAACTCTTTGAATTAAACCTATTGGTGCATTAATGTGTAGATTTTTATATTTCAGCAGGTAAAGCTGGAGCCAATGTAAACTACTTTATCTACTTCACTAATAATACATCATAACGTGTTTAATGATTATATTTCCAAATATATATATCAACAATCTAATTGGACAATGAACACTTCCAAAAACAAGCAGTGAAATCTGAATAAATTGAACAATATCATGAAAACACATCATGGGCTGCGACAGCAATTTTCCCAAAGTTGAGCGTTCATACTTATTGACGATTATTTAAAATAGAGCGGTTTGCGCTGGTAATGGATAGATAATAAAGGACGTAGTGAATGGCCAACTCTTACCCTGGACAGCTCCGACTCTGAGACAGAGCGGTACGGCGGCGGGCGGCGCCGGTAGGCGGGCGGGCTGACGTCATGGTAACTCGGGCTGTCGTCGTCCAGCAGCACGGCCTCCGCGTCCACAGACTCCTCCTCCTCTTCCAGCTGCGACGTCATGTCCTCCGGACACATCTGGGGGTTGATGCCGTTCTGGCTCAGGTTGCAGTGAACAGCTGTGTGGTAAAAGGAGGTAACATGTAAATAATAGAAAAGTACACTAAAGTATATTTTCAGTGTTTTAATCTAATCAGATGTAGTTCACTATGGAAATTCTTACATTTACTTGTTTTTTTAAAAGAGTTATAAAGAGCTAAATAGACACATTTTAAAAGGATGTCCAAATGTTGGTTATAAGTTATTAATAGATTTATTGATAACAGCCATCTGAGCACATTGAATGCCATGCTGCTAAATGTCCACTAGATGTCAGTAGAGAGCTGTGAGCGAGCAGCTCCTAAAGGCTCAACGCAGCAACATGAAGATCAGAAGAAACAAGTCAATGCATTTAACCATCAAATCACTGGCAATTGTAATAAAGTTACAACTCATTCAAAGGGAAATTCAACCACATCCGGTGTTTGCCTGCTCGCCCGGTCTGGTGTGACCAGTATCTGTTGACAATTGTAGTGTGTGTGTGTGTGTGTGTAGAATCAACACACAATGAATTACGTGGCGTAGTCATCAAATTCAGAACCAAAAACACTACATGAACATCGTTTACAATTTTAGTCTCGTCAGCCACTGACGCAAAGCGAAGCGGCGGGTTGTGAGGCGTCACGGAAGTAGTTTGTCCTCCTCTCTTCAGGTGTAACGGGAGCCAAAGCCGCTCTCCATCACACCCGACATTAACGCACTCGGAGGAAAACGCCATCACGGGACGTGACCAGACCGGACCTGTCCATCACAAGGAAGCCCCGCCCTAAAGCACACGCTGCTCTATTGTGTCGAGATGACACAATCATGTTCAAAGTACAGTAATTCTATGTTGACTTTGATACAACAGGCCTTATGTTCACCACCGGAGGAGCGTCCCCTAGTGGCCGTTAGAAAGAACACAAGAGTCATTTGGCCATTAATCAGCTCATACAATAATGTTGATTGTTAAAGATCAAATCGGAGGTTTTATTTGGCTTGTGACCTCACACACACACAAACAAACCAAGTAAACATCCCAAGAAAGATTCACAAAAAAATAATTATTAAAATCCAATAACCCACAGTGACCACTCAAGTTTTATCTAACCGAGCCCTAGGGTGGGAAGCGCTGGATTAAAATCATATTGTAATTGCGTGTTTTTGTTGTAGAGATCTATTCCAGTGTCTCAGTGATGTGGAGATTGATTTGCAGCATTGATGAATACAGCTCATCCTGAGAGTCGGCCTTCCATAGTATTTATACCAGGGACCAACAGGTTCGAATCATGGATCACTGATCACCTTTTGAAGCCCCATCTCAAACACATCACAGCTGCAGAATGCATGTGCTTTGATCCCTGATGAGAAACACCACCACCCCCCTCCCCTCTTCCCCCCGCAAAACAACGTGAATATACGGGCCGCGGTTTCAAGCAAATCGACTTGAGATGCGTAGCACGGAGCGACGCTCCTTCTCACTGCCTTCTCATCCCTCCCTCATCTCCTCCGAACTCCCTCGTGCCGCTCTCCTCCTCGCCCGGACTCGCTGCATGGATGGTGAGCAACAACTCTCGAGGAGAAATGAATTATACATCCTCTGCTGAGGGCGTGTAGACAATGGCGCCAGCGAACCGAAAGAATAGATGGATGGATGGCAAGATGATGATGGGGTTAGGGGAAGCGGAGGCACACAAAAGCACGAAGAACAGTTGGAGTTCTCTCAATTCCCCTAAAAAAAAGGAGGGGTTGGTGTGTGACTATGAAAGAGCTTGATTTTTTTATTTTTGGGTTGTTTTTTTTCCTTCAAACGTTACATTACATTCCCTCTCTCCTCCCTGACGTGTGGCGAAGAAGCGTTCGGGAGACGAGAGACGGAGGATGAAGGATGTCTGCCTCCTTTGTTTTCGCTCTCGCTCAGTGAGATTCAGTGAAACAGGGAGGAAACAAAAGGAGGGAAGGAACGGAGGTGAGAATAACCACATCCCTGCAAAGCCAAACGCATTCTGAGATCACTGAGAAAAAGATGCATAAAGAATTGGATTACATTATCATCTGATATTGCATAACTCTCTTCATTACTGGACATGGTGGGCGAACAAGGAACCATTAGCAACCAGTGGCATTTGAGAAGTACTGGCAGGGGGAACATTGTGTGATTATGAACATGATCCGAATACCGTAGAATAGAATGAATACCAAATGTGGAAGGTCTTCTTCTTAAAGCTTTATTTAGCTTTGCTCAGATATTCAAGGTCCTTTATTTTCAGTTCAATACGACAACCTCCTGATTGTACAAAAGCAAAGTACTGAGTATCAATATCAGGAACAAAATACCAATGTGATTCCATAATTGTTGATTCATTCTTCATACAAAAAAAAAAAAAAATCTCAATTTCATCCCCAATTACAGGCCTCAAGGTTTTGCCAAAAAACTGAACTTTTATATTTAACATATATGCCGTAGCACCAATCGTCAGGTTTATTGAACATCATAAAACACCTCTTGAACTTTTTGTATCACAAAGCACATTACCAGTATTTCTTCTACTAGCCGCAGTTAAACAATTATGTTTAAAATAAAAATAAAAAAATGGAAACATGGCCCATTGTTGGATCGTCGGTGGATACGTGGAGAAAATGCAGCGGTGGAGAAAAAGGGCGCCGTCACATTGTTTATTGTGGTCATATGGAGAAATGAAGACATTTTTGGGATTCGCAGCCCGCTCACTTACATTATTATTACCGTCCTCATTAGTTGTGTAACATGGTTTCAGTCTGACATTTTTATCTAAAAAGATGTTAGATGGAAGCCGTAAGGTTTCATTAATTCAATATTATTTACAAACGGGAGCGATGGGAGCAGCCGAGCGCCTTTTCTCCGCTTGCTTCCTCCTGAGCCGGACTGGCACGGGTTCAAAGTGAGGCCACCAGTGGGTCCATAATCAAAAGTGAAGTTTGCTCCGGCTCATAGTCATCTCTTCCTCTCTGGCTGACTCAAAGTGAAGCAGAATGAATTGTTTGCCAATAGGATGAAGTGCGTGACCCAGAAACCGAGCTCGGGGGAAAGATGGCACCAACTCTGCGCCGCAGCTGTGAGGCCGCCGTTCCTTCGGTCGGACTTCCGGCGCCGTTCAGCGGTGGGTGAAGCTAACGCAACCCGCTAAAGGCCACGCGAGGACGTGGGCGACAAAGTTCCCACAACCGAAGCTGCTCCAGCTCTTTATGGAAGGGAACGGTTGGCCGCAAAGCTGGCAGGATCTAGAAGAAGTGACACGTCAGTCACCAGCGTCTCTCTGCATAGGTTTGTGTCAACAGTGGCCCCAACACTTAAAATAACGGCGCGGTTCGGGGAATAAATGTGTGGATTGGTCCAATGCGCTCACTGCCCCTCCTGCAACGATTTACTTCATATGGCCACGGAAACAGTTCAATGTACTTTGTAAATGTCCCTAAAGAAAAGCCGATCTGCGATTTCCTACATAGAAGTGACACCAGAACACCAGACAAGATGGAAACCAGATGCAAATGATGCATTTCACAGTGATTTGGGAGAAACCGAATATGGTTAGTGTAGGTTTACCTTAGAAACAGGGCTGTAGTGGAGGGTAAATGCACGTAAACGCTGTTTACGCACCTCTGGAATTTTGCAAATAGCGTTTACGCACCTATCGCGCGCTCTGTGTTCGCTGGTCGTGCACGGTAAGGACAAGACGCGTTCTGGGGTTCATGGCTCCTCTGTGCAAGGCAGGACCTGACGTGGAGGACAAGGAGGCCCTCTGGGCACTACTGTAAAAAGGAGATAGTTCTTAATCTGCAATTGTGTTGTTGTGTTGTGTTGACATTAAATGTAATAAACTACAAACTACTAACACATGTATTCATTGTCATTGATTGTATATGACTTTTACTGATAACATAATGCAATATCCAGGACAGCCTTACAGACTTGCAAACGCTTTGAATGTCACATCGCGTCGAGGTCTGTATGATCACAAAATTCAGAGTTTACCCACCTCTAATTTTACCACTACAGCACTGCTTAGAAAGCACTCTTTGGAGACCATAAAAGACATTTGCATCCAAAGTTGCCATTTCTTAACTCGGTCACCTAATTTCACTAGAAAATTCCTGATTCCTGAGTTTGCTTGTTCTTAGAAAGAATATTTAAATTAATATTTGGTCTCCAGTCGCTCGCTCCCACCAAAACATCAATATCCAATATTTGTGACACAGATGCCAATTAGAGCCACTCGATTTGCTGTGCAGATGCGTTGTTATTCACACCTGAAGCTGCTATTTACACCCTTCTTTTGTCAGCTAATGAGAACTCGCTGAAGCCATGAAGAGCAAATAGTGCTGCCCGGTGGCGCCTGCAGCAACGGGTGGCGCTGCAGATAGAACAGCGATTTCATGCTGCGATGTGCTCAGGGAGAAGGGCTGCGTGGAGCTGAACCACGCGATGCGTTGCAGCTATCGGCCGTTCACTTTGAGTGGCGTCACACAGGACGGCCATAGACGCTCTCAGATGAAAGACGCTTGTGTAACGTATCAAACTTTAAGCCTCGCAAGCTTTCGGTGTCTGCTTCAAGCAGCGAAAACAAGTGGAGCACCCGTTGACCCAGCGGGTCCACGGGTCGTTGGGAGAGCTGCGGTTTATGAGCCGGCGGGGCGATTCTAGAGGCGTTCAGGGGGTCATTCACTGTGAATCAGTGGGTCGACTGATGCGGCTGGATTTTACGGCAGAGATTTGAACAAATTGGTTCATCACCTCATTAGTTGGCTAAAAGTCCAAACGGCGTGCAGCATTTTCTTTGTTTTCATTAGTAACGGATAAAGTGCCATTAACAAAACGGCAAACGCAATTTGAATGATTAGCACGAATGTACAGTTACAAAAGGAAACGTATGAAGCTTTGCTGCTCTGAAACAACGGCCAGCCATGGACGAGGGTCCATACGTTCCACATGTTGGACATCCAACTGGTCCTTTTAGTGATTTTAGTGAACGCTCCAAAAACAACGGAACCGACCCAACCGGCT